ATGTATCACATGCATGTAGGTTCTTTTGCATTTCATTAGTCAAACAGAAGTTTTTGTTTCCTAAAATGGCTGGACATTCTGTTTTGGTTCTACCAAACCACAAAACACACAACCACAGACTAAGACCCAAACCTTGTGTGGTGTGGAATGCTGCGAATAAAATCACTGCCAGGCCAACTTTTTGTTTGATGTAGCCAATCTTCCTTTCTCAAATGTATTCACAATTCACTATCCCTTTTGAAAAAGGATAAAAGTCATTGGTAATTTTCCCTGTTGACCTGAAATGTTCATAACCTAAAGCCATGATAATGAGAAACAGGAAAAAGGACACTCACTACAAGATGCTAGAACTCAAGAATAATATTAAACAGCACTCCATTATTATTTTTTTAAAATCTAGAATTGTTGATGTGAAGTTCACAGGCCCACAAAAACAATCTTAAAGCCCAAATAGCTACATGATATAGATAAAAGCATGCTTTTCTTCTTAAATCATAAGCTACTTAAATTTATGCCCAATAGTTTTGGAACCCACATGAATAATTTTATTTGCTGCTAATAGTTTAGCACTTAAGTTATTCCAAGTCCTTTTTTAAAAGCTAGGTAAAACAATGGCTTTCATATTAAAACCTCAACACTTAATCTTAAATAAAACTCACTGCCATCGAGTTGATTTTGACTCATGGCGACCCCTCCTTGGGTTTTCGGGGCAGTATCTCTATGGAAGTAGATGCCCCAATCTTCCTTTTGAGGAGTGGCTGGTGGGTTTGAATCTCTGCCTTCTGGTTAGCAGTAAAATGCCTTAGGCACTATGCCACCAGAGCTCCTTAATCTTAAATACTTGGCAACTATTATAGATGTAGAGATAGAGATATAGATTATATATTACATAGATGATAGATCTTTGCATAAATATACGCATTTCTATATCGTTTTTCAAAATTCAAAGAACCAAAATAATCACTTAATTTGTCAAGCTAATATTTATCTATTTGATACATGTTGCAAGAAGGATGTCTAGGCGATCAACAATAACTGGTAACATGCTAAATGTCCACCAAGTTTCAAGTCCCACACATTGTTTATGGGTAGTGTCTTATCGCATCTTTACAACCACCCAGTAAGGCAGGTACCATTTACATACTTATTCTATAGATAAGAAAACTCTGGTAGAAAAGGTCACACAGTCAGTGACGATGGAACTGGGATGAGAAAAACCAGTCTCTCTCCAGAGTCTATTCTCTTAACCACTAACCAAATTCTGGGGAAAGTTTTATTGTTGTTGTTGTTTGTTTGATTGATTTTAAACCTAATAGTGATCATTACAAGCATCACCATGATTTTGATTTGCATAGTTCTTAGCAGTCACATCCTGTATCTGTTAGGATATCTAACAAGAGTT